CCGTCCCCCTCCTCGGCCCGCCGCCGCTGCTCCAGATGAGGTGATGGCAACGGCCAACTTCGGCAAGATCCAGATCGGGATTTACGTGGAGATCAAGCGGAGCGATGGTGAGCCGCACCGCTGCCCCTGCCTGCCGGGCCCCGCATTCGGGTGTGCACGGAGGGAACGCGGGCGCCGGCCACCTCATTGATTGCTCCGCCGGGCTGTGGGGGCAGGAAGGCGGCGGCCGCAGCGCTTTTGTGTGTGGCGTGTGTTCAAGTGAGGCCGGCGTGGGGTCCACCTCGGGTGCCGCTGCAGTGCGCGGGGCGAGGAGGGCCCCTGCGTGGCCTGGGCGGAGGGGAGGCGGGAGGATAGGACCCGGGTGTAGCGAACCGCGTCTCTGGAGGCTTAGCGCGGGCGCAGTGGAGGGTCCTGGGCCAGGGGCCCCTTGCTCTCCCGCGTTCTCCATCCTCCCAGGAGACTCTAGCCCGGGGCTTGCGGGGCGGGTATAGCGAGCTTGATGAGAGGTGACCTACCCTCGGGTTTAACCCGGGCATTATCATTTTTCGGCCTCATCTTTGAGGGATGGGGGCTGGGGAGAGCGTTGAGACCAGTGATTTCAGTGTTTAGAAAACCCTACTGGTCAGAGGCCGAGGTGGAGGGAGAAGGCCAGCGCCGTTGGTTTAAACTGCTGTGTGGTTGTCAGGGTTCTTCGGCTTTCGTTTCTCGAGCATGCCTTTCTTTTTTGCCAGTCCCTTCCTTGGAAGAAGGATGCGGAGAATGTCGTGCTCAGCCATGAATAATGGGGCGGGAGGGGGGGAGCAAGGGGAAGAAGTATTCGATAAGCTTTTCAAAGATGATAAGACCGAAAGGGAAGGCGAGGGGATGAGCCTAGTCAATGCAAGACACTACTGAGAGGGTGGGGGTGGACGACTAGATGTTGATGTTTTCACACCATCAGGAGAGGTAACCGAGAGAAAAGTGTAAGGCGAGGTGAAGATGCATGCTTAATTAACAAGAAAAAAGCTTAGGCTTATGTATTTTTCTGTAGGTTCCTCTGGGGAAAAATATCTTATGTCACTAGCTTGGGATGTGCAGTGAAATGCCAGCCAGGCTTGGATATAATATATATTGTAATGAAGAAAACGCGTAAAGGGAGATAAGTAAAATTTCATTCAGTCCAAATATTGAAAGAATTAGAGGTGTGTAATATCCAGAGGTGTGCGGTGTTCTTGATTCCATCTCTCCTATACTCATGCATTTTATTATCCTTATTCATTATCCTCTGGCCTCGCCAGGAGTAATGTTGCTATCATATCCATACCCTCTTGGTTTCGATCAATTTTGATCAAGTTTGTGAAGCTAGATTGACTTTCACGTTATCTGTATGATATATTGGAAGACCGTATATAGTTGAGGATTTTTTTCTTTGTTATATTTGAGATAACTTGTATTAACTGAAAGTATCATTCATTTTCCTGTATGTGAGAAGATAAATTATACCATTTACAGCTTTAGAAATTACCAGGGACACTAGTGGAAAATGATGTCTCCTTTACTTGAGTTGGAGTTTATATTCTCTTCAAATTACTTTCCTTAAACTGTGCCATTCCTGTCATTTATTTCTTAGGTGAATACAGATTCACCATATACTTTCAAAAGTAAGATTTGCATGTTATTTAAAATTTTGGAGTGCAGTAAAATGTGTAAGTTCTTTACATTCTAAGCCTTTAACTATAATTAGAGGTGTTACTGTTAAACCTATCAGAAAAAATGCAGTATTATATGGCATTGGAAAGGTTTGTATATTTTTATTTTTCGGGACTAACATCGTTTTATTTAAATGTATTGGACTTGAAACAATTTTGGTTCTTTTAGGGTTCTAAGATAGAGGCTTTTAATACTCTCAGCCTTCAACTACCTAATACCAGAAGCCCAGGCATATAAGAGCTTTGTATTCTTATATAAGTGCCAGTAACCTAAAGTCAGACTTTGAATAATTTGTCCACAAGAAATAATGGAAGTCATTACACTGTGTATCATCCTAATCTGTAGTCATGTACATATTAATGTGCCTCAGATGCTTGATGAAATTGGTAGACAGTAAAAAAAATAAGTAGAGAACTTGAAAAGAATGATCATTTGTATTGGATGGCAGTAGAAATGTCTGGGAGACTCCCTGCAAGCCTTCCCTTTTTCACTTTAAAGAAGCTGTTTTGTTTCTTCCCACTTCTGCAACAGACCTGTATAGGATAAAACACTAGCAGTTATTGTAACAAAAATAAACTTTAAAGTAGTATGAGCACTAATTTAATGCCTGAAACAATGGCAATCACATGAGTGAAGAAGGGCTGTTCCAGGCTGCTATTAACTGGTGACTTGATGCTTGCTGATGCTGATCCTTGTCCACATTTTAGAACATGCTTCTCCTGTCAGTGATGCTCATAAATTAACAAAATATATTCCAAGGGCAAATGGATTTGTTCCCATCTTTCAAGACCCTGCTCAGAACTTATCACCAAGTACTAAAAGCAGATGGCCAGTCAACCTCTGAATTCCTAAGTCATTCTATATCACTCATGAAACAGCATATTTCCTTAAGTATTAATATTTGGTTATGTTTCTCTTAATATTATGTTTCAAACTGCACTAGAGAAAGGGTGGTATGAAGAATGCAATGAGGGATGACAGACTACCCACACCCACTTCAACCAGGGCATTACAGGATTAAAATACTAATAGACTCTTAAATTCTCTGAATTTATCTGTGTATCCTCATGTGCCTCGCAGAGTTCCTTACATGTAGTTTTTGAGTGAATCATTATTAGATTTTTGGTTTTCAAACATTACTTTAATCAGCCATTCAGATGAACTCTTACCAGGAAGTGAAGCCCTACATCTATGCTCATCCTGTGTTGCCACCTCTATTCTGGTCCCCCACATCTCATACAGGCCTTTTAGTTCAAGATTCTTAGAGTTGACTGAAAATGAGTGATATGCTAAGGTGAATCCAACTTTTCTGGTGTTCTTAGATTAGAAGTGACAGGTTAGGCTTGGCCTCCTGAGATTGTTCCCAGCCACAGGTAACCAGGTATAAAATGAGACTGGTTTCTGGAAATGGACGGTCATATATTTATTTATTTTCTTATATGTGTCTTATTATCTTATTAAGTTCCTTTTAAGAATCCGGTGACTCCGAAAACTAAACGGCACTCTTACCGTTGTGTAGCTAGATACAGTCTTTATTGAAAAATTTTAAAACTGCACTGTTAAAACATTTTTTAAATGTTCTAGCTGTTAACTATCCTTTGGGGAGAAAAGTTTTGAATATTTGGAAGCAGCAATTAGGATGGGATTGTTCTTTGAGTTTCCTTAGTTGCAGTGTTGATATATGTGATCTGAGGAGAATCATAGACTGTTTCAACCAGAAAGATCCTTGGAGTTGATCTAGTTCTCATTTTTATAAATGTGGAAACTGAGTCCCAGGTATCATAAATGACTTGTCAAGATTCATGCAGCCTGTCTTGCACAGCATAGAAACCAGACTATCTATCAAGAACTGTGACAGAAAAGAGAATTCTCTGTTAGTTAGGAACCATATACAGCTAACTACAACCCAATCAGGATGTAGGAAATTGCTTCTCACTCGTGGGAAAGCCAGTATAGAGCCCAATTGAAATGATATGATAAAAAGTGATAAGATATAGTTCAAAGGTCACAAAACACAAAATTGTGGGAGGAATATATTCCTGTTTTTTAATTACACGTTGGTGAAAAGAATGCTCTAATCATCGGAAATCCAGAGGAAATTGAAGATTTCAGAGGACCCATTGCAAATCTTGGCGTTTAGGACAGGTAGACTTTAGAAAAGATTTTAAATGGCCTGATTCTCTACCTACTTTGCCACATTTATTTTTTCTGCTAGTTTATCTTTACGTGTCATTTATATACAGGGTTTTGGAGAATAGACTAAGGGAATTTAGGTAATAAAAATATACCACATAGTAATATAGTTCTTTAGGTACAACTGTGTGATTGATGATGGGGCGAATGAGAGGAATTTGTGAATTATTTCCTTTTACATAATGACTTGCATGATAATGGTTCCATATAGCATATTTGTTAGGCCTTCATAATTTTCCAAACAGGTTGTCTAATTGAATCCTCACAGAAGCTGTATGAGGTAAACAGGGTAGGAAGGTGATAAATTCATCATTTTACAGGTGAATCTGAGGTCAGATTTGCCAGTATGACATTAATAAGGGGCATAATCTGGACCAAAGACTAAGTTTAAGTGCTGGCAAATGTTTACTGATGATGCTATGAAATTATAAACTAGGTGTGCTTTTGTTTTCTTTTTTGAGATTCAAACCTCTGTAGTAAAGTTTTCTTTCTACTACTACCAGAGAGGTTCAGAAAACCTACATTGCTTAAAATTTGCCAGATTGGTGAGATCCAATTGAATCCTGACATTTTATTAACTATAAGGAGTAAGATTCAGCAAAGTAAGCCTTTAAAGCCCTTTTCAATAGTCAGCCACTTGTCTCCAGAATTACCACAGAAAGCCAGAAATCTATATTCATTGCCCAGTCACTTGATTCTCATGACAAACATTTTAGAACTCGGGGAAAAGACTATGTGTCAGCTTGTTTTATGTATCATAATTTTTAAAAAGCTAGAGAAAATAGCAAAGAGCCGGTGTCTGTGTCTGTTCAAATAGAGAAGGAGACCATGAGTGTGGAAAATCCAGAACAGGATTCCTTGAGAAATCATCTGGACCCATTCTTTCTAGTCACAAGTTTACTTGTTGTTAAAATTACATTAATCTTTTGCAAAGCTTAATTCTTGGATTCAGCCACCCATTTTGCTTTTAATACTTTTGCCCTAGAACCTAAAATAATCTTTTAAGATGTTTATTTGTTTTGAGATTGTAGTTCTGGGCTTAAGAATAGATATAATTTCTAAGCCCTAGGTAAAATTTATTTTCAGTCTTCTGATCCAGTTGTGGAGCAAGTGTAGATTAGGTTGCCCTTCCATTATACAGCAACTCTTTTGATTAGAGTAACATGAATGATATTATAGTGCCTAAGTGAAAATAGATGTTAGAACCTCACCATATTAAACATTT